AAAGTGGCGATGGATGGGACACATACACTGTACATTCAGTATGAAGTGGCTTGTAGAGACAATAGGGAGTGGGGTGCCCAATAAACAGTATATTAAAACACATCCCGCAGCGGAAACATCACAAGACAGTCACTGCAGTGGAGCCCACAAGGAGCACGAGGCAGGGGTAGGCCACGGGAAACACGGAGTAGATGTGCGGAAAGGGACATGAGAGAGATGAAGCTCACTTGGAGCGAGCTTGGAAGGATGGCCCAGGATAGAGATGAATGGAAGGAGCTTGTATGTGGCCTCTACCCTGCCAGGGGTGAAAGGCATTGATGATGTTGAATCTGATGCGTAGAGTCTGTAGATGGTAAATATATACATTGTGATAAAAACAACTATACAACTTGTTTTGTAATTAATGTTCTCCATACTGAAGTTTTGCGTTTAAGATTTGAACAGAATATTTGGAAGCCAAACGGAATTTGGCAGATATTCATTTTAAATAAATCCATTGAATGGTTTTGCTCTGTATGGCACATTAAAAATCCCAACCCATTCTAAACCCTGTCCCCATTTTCGTAGCATGACGCACAAGTTTGCAGTAGGCCTATCACTAAAAGTTGCAACAATCGCGCCGTGTTGCAAGCTACAGCAGTCTAACAAGTCAACAGAAGTCTGCAGATATTAGTTTTCCCAAATTTTGTTTACTTGCTGAGATCATGCCTAGTTTAGTAAGGAGCGGAGCAGAGAGTTTTTGTATTGTACATAACCTCTCCAAAAACTTACCATCCCTGACATTTCGTAAGTTCAGGGCACGACATGGAAAAAAACGTTTAGGTGCCCTCAAGACCTTTGGTGTCAGGAGTGGAAAAGTTCTGTCAGTTTGGATCTACAGCGAATCAGTATGCCCTTTAAAATGACCACTTCAGGTCGAAGACGCACCATATGCGCAGCTCTTTAAACGTCACCAGGATGCAGATTTCAATATTCGAGTCCCATATGAGACGTCCTGTCCGTAGACGATCTGCAGCTATGACTTTCCAACACATCAACAGTTTGCATTCTCATGGCAGATCTTCACCTACGACTGTAGCATTGTCATTTTCGGTAGGCCGAAATGACGTGGATCAGAGCCTGGCAATGTGTTCATGATTTCTCGATTCTCGATTGTCTTAAATACATGTATTGAAAGGCGGGATCATTTCCTCAATGACATAATTCGGTTTTGTACAAAGTTGTTGTTTTTTTAACTCGGTAAGAAACTAAATGTTGTTTAAATGTTATAGTTATAGGGATGGAAATTAAATGTCAAAGAGCAAATAAAGAAAATGATCAATCAACCTCTTCCCGACTTCCTATAAATTGTTTGTAGGCTACAAATTGGTGAACTTTGCGTGTGTGTGGGGGGGTTTGTGGTGCTTTTTTCTTTAAGACATTCCCGTTTTCAAGATAAGTTTCTTCTTTGTATATTTCTATGTCTGACAAATTTATTTTGAATGAATTATGTCTGTTCCAAATTGCAGCACTCTAGAACCATTTTGTGCGAGATATTCAGAAAAATAGTTGCAGTTTTGTGTGGGTTTTTTAAATCACCCTTCCCTACAAAGTAAGCCTAAGTGGCAATCGCCGGCTCGCTGGCTCGCCGGACTCGTGCAGGTTCGGGGGTTTCCAGTCGAGGCTTTGCTCGATCCAACCAGAGAGTTTACAGTAATACTAGAGAGATGACATGTCGCCCGGATGCGCGTATCTGGGTCACCAGCTGATCGTGGAGAAACGCGCAGTAAACAAAACAAACTGCGTTCATTGTTCAAGGCATTTTCGTTGATCGCAGACAAGCATGACCCCGGTTAGCACGAAATGTCAATGGTGTTCGGCTATAAACTGCACCTATTAAAATCAAAATCTGAGTTTCTTTCGATTTAAAAAGGACGACGAATATATTTTAAGAAAAATATAGATCAAAATAATGACAATGTGATTGTGGTCCTACCAGTACCAGACTGACACTCCATGCACAAACTCAACACACTTCAACTTTGTTATATCAGCTATGAATTGGTGTTCTTTTTCTCCTGTCTAAATGCCCAAATAGAGCTTGCATTCTACTAGAGAAAGATATTATGTTACCTGGGTCTGCGAAAAGATGTCTAAATACAAAGTGCCATCGATCGGTTTTACTACTTTCTTTGTCCGATTACAATGTACCACTTTTTTTTTTT